TGTACTCTTTTTTGTTATAATGCATGGGAAATATTAATAGCCGGTTTTTCATTGAAAGAATACAACCTTTTGATGCTCTGCACAATATGAGTCCTAAATGTTCAAGAGTGTAATGTATGAATGAGTAGGAGTAGGAGAAGAAAAGCAGGTGATTTATTGATCTTTTATTAAAATTTCAATTTTAACTGGTCACCTTAGATTGTCTTTAGTTGTTTTTTGCCATAACAATAAAAAATATGTATGTATGTATGTACATTTAAACACACTGATGGTGGTAAATGAATGAACAATATTTATGCAATTAATTTGCTCATGCAATTAAAGCACAAAAAAAGTAGGGGAAAGAAAATGTGTAAATTAGGGAATTTTTTCCCTATTTAGGTTTCTAGTTGGTATTACTTACTCCAAATTCTTTTTGGCCTCATCTTCGTTCTGTTGGAACATTTTCTTTAAAATATCCATAGCTAATACAATTGATTTTTTGTTTCTTTTACAGTTGGGGGTAGTTAGATTAGAATCCTCTTTTTTTCCCGTGCTTGATGTATAAAATTAGATAAACGGAAAATTTGGAAAAGAAAAATAAAATTCTTAATGAATTTTGTTTTGTTTGTCTTTTATTTTGTTTGTTTCTTTTTATTTTTGTATATAATTGTATTTTGTTAATTGCGTTTGTGGGATTTTTGTTTAAATTGTTTTTTTTTTTCTTTGCGGAATTTGCTCGAATAATATTTTTTTGCACTTTTATTTTTTATTTTATATCAATACGACCGCTTCTAGTACTTTTTTGCTTCTGTCCTGTTCTATTCACACCGACACTCTGGTTTTTTATTATTTCTCTACTGCTGTTTGTCACTCTTCGTTTACTGTTTGTTGTTGGTTCTGTGTACTGCTTCAGACAATCAATTTCTGTTCACTTCGTTGGACAATTTTCATCATCTGCTAATCTATTTTCTGTAATTCTCCCTTTAAGTGTATATATTTGCCAGTTTATATAGTATTTTTTGTAATATTTTTCCAATTTTATTTTATGCGCATGATATGTTTTGGCGAGTGTTTTGTTTTGGGATATTTTTCAAAAGAAAATGTCAAAAAAGTTGAAATAAGTTTGCTGTCTATTGACAAAGATAAAAGGTATTTTTTTGTATGACAGGGTGTTTCAAAAATAAAATAATAATAATTGTAAACAAACTAAAATTAGGTTTGTTTTTGTAATAATTATACTTTGTGGTAATAATAAACGTCTAAGTCCACTTAGCTTATATTCCCAAGACAATTGGGCCTTTGTTTGTTTGCCCAATGAGCATCAACTCGGTGACAGTACAACATTTCTTAAATTCTCCCTGCAGCACCATTCTAATCTGCTTCCAGATGAACTATGTTTAAGATGTCCCGACAGGTAAGTCTATAAAGTAAATTTTTGCTTTTATTTTATAAGCCTGAGTCGAGAAAGTACAAATCTATTCGATCTGCTCACAATGGGAATATTTCGAAACGATCCATTCTCTTCTCGAGAAAATAAATACCTACATAAATCTTTTTGTAAGTCCAGTTTATATTCTAGTCTATAATCTTATGACTAAACTATAAACTAGTCTATAGTCCAGTCTATAGACTAGTATATAGTCCAGTCTATAGACTAGTCTATCTAGTCCAGTCTACAGACTAGTCTATAGTCCAGTCTACAGACTAGTCTATAGTCCAGTCTACAGACTAGTCTATAGTCCAGTCTACAGACTAGTCTATAGTCCAGTCTACAGACTAGTCTATAGTCCAGTCTATAGTCCAGTTTTTATTCTAGCTTATACTCTAGTCTACAATCTTGTGACCTATACTATAGACTAGTCTATAGTCCAGTCTATAGTCTAGACCATAGTCCAGTCTATAGACCAGTCTATAGTCTAGTCTATAGTCTAGTTTATATTCTAGTCTAGAGTCTATAATCTTGTGATAATACTATAGACTAGTCTATAGTCCAGTCTATAGACCAGACTATAGACTCTTATGAGTAGACTATACACTAGACAATAGTCTAGTTTATAATCTTGTGACTAGACTTTTGTGAATAGACTATAGACTAGGCACAATATTATAGACTGGACTATAGTCTAGTGAGAATTTCCTATGTATATGTACGTAATTAAATATTTAATTAAAAATAACCTTTTTATGTAATATATTAATTACTTTTATTGCTTATAAAAAAATTATTTGTACTTAAAAAATTATTAATAAATTTTGAAATAACTTAGAACTATAAAAATATATTAATACAAAAGGTACATTTTGTTAAAATAAAACAAACGAAAATTTCATTTCGTTTTTGTTAATTATTAAAATTCTTTGGAAATTATATTAAATTAATTAATTTTATTATTTTTAAAATCTATGATTTTAAAAAATATTAACCCATCATATTTTCCTTATTCATTTCCCTCATTGGTGTGCGCTTATTCATTTGTAATTTCATCATCTTATTTTCATCGGCACATTTCGTGGTGATGGCATTACGTACTTCCTTATCGGAAGCCTTACATTTGCGCGTTACGGCAAATATAATATCGGCTACTATTAGAGGATCCAATTGTTGTTTTATGGGTTTGCCATGATCTTTAAAGGCCGGCGATGGTTTGCCCGTCATTGAATGTGTTGCCAAGACACTGCGATCAAATATGGCCATTAAGAGTTTTCTTGTTGCGATCGAGGCCGATGACCAGTTCATGTTTTCGTAAAGCTTAGCTGGTATACGGGTGTTGTTGGGTCCTATGGATACCATTACATTATCCGCATCTATGCCAATCATGCTTGTATCGCCATTTGCACTGTTAAATGATGAATTGCTATTGTTTGTGGGCGAGGGAATGATATCTTGCATGGGAGCGTTGGTTTGTATATTATTGATTATTTGGACTTTAGGTGTTTTAAGTAAACTATTACCACTACTGCGACGTTTTTGTACAGGCAATTTTTGTGGTACATTGTTAAAAGACGTAATAGTTTGATCATGATGGCTATAGTTTGAAGTTGTGCTGAGCTCTTCCAGTTGCTCTGCTGCCAGTTTACGCCTTTTTATAAAATGATGTTCACTAGGAGTTGTATCCAGTGTGGGTGCAGCAGCCACCTGTTGCTGTGTTTTCATTGCATTATTTCCATTATTATATTCTGACTTAATCTCTATGTTTTCTTCGGGAGCCAAACAAATTTCTAAACGTCCTGAATCAGCTGAACTATTTAAATTTAATGCTCCATCATCTTCGGCCAATTGTATTTCTATAGGTTCACCGTTATCATTTCCAGTACCTTCAGCTATAATCGTATATTTAACACTTTCGGCAGGAGAACAGCTAACTTGTTGTAGGGGATTTAAGGCATTAACAATTTTGGGACTTAATTGTGGAGACGGCCTATTCGTAGTGGTAGTATTGTTAATGTTAGTGATGTTCGGACTATTAAAACTAACATTGCTGTTATTGTACTGTTGAGTTGTTGAAGTCTGTTGTGACAATAATGCTGTTGTTCTGGCAGATGTGGCATGTATTTGTGTCAATAGTTCCGTGTGGGCCTTAAGATTTTCCTCAAGTATTCTTATTTTTTCCTCCAATTCTTTTTCTCTTTGTGATTGTTTTTCCCGGTTTTCGATTTCGTATAAATAAGAGAAATCATCGCTGGTAGTTTGTGACCAGGCATTAACCATTAGTGGACGATTGTTATTATCTCCGGGCTCTGGTATACCTTGAAACTTTTGTGCCGAGCCAATCATTACCGGCATAGGAGGTAATTTTATCTGCAAATAATTTAATAATAAATATTTTTAATACAAATTTTTATCTAAAAAAATAATTTTACTTTTGCTTGATTTTTATGTAATTAAACGCTAATTTTTAAAATTTTTCTAATATGAATCTAAACAAATATTATTTTATAAATAAACTTACCATTTTAAATCTTTTTAGAATAAAATATTACAATTTTATTATTTAAAAGTCCAATAAAAATTCACACTAGAATATTCTATAATTTTAAAAACACCGTTTTAGCTTACAACTTTACACCAAGACGTTTCAACAGCTACTGCTTAAAAATTCCATAGGCCTTATTCCTATAACAACCGCCACTGTTAATATCCTTTGCTACCTACTTACTTCTTATACTTTTTCCCTAATTGTATAGTCACGCTCATTGTTCTATGTTCTTTACGTATTCATGGGAATGCAACAACTACAACATTCAGTTTAAGGGTAGCAAAACCAGGATCACTAACAATTCTTACTGCAATACACAATTGCTTGGGTTTTTCTATAAATTCCTATTTATTCTTGTTTGTTTTGTTGTATTTTCTGTTTTAGTTACCTGCAATAGGAGTATGTACGCGCGCGCAATTTCTGTTTTACAATCTAACAGCAGGCCATCCATCCATCCTTCCATTTACTAATAAGGGTGCCTTTTAGTAATACTTCTGTTGCAATGAGTTGTTGCTGTCCTTCCTCCAGTCAGTTGGTTTATTAGTTGGACTAACAACAATAAAAACAATACAAAATAAAGAAACTACTTCTGTGAGTTTCGTTTTGAATAGTAATGCCAGATCGTATGCAATTCAAAAATGTTGTTAAATGAGATCCTCATAGGGAGTAATGAACAGTAATGGTTATTTGGTAGAAATATTTATGTTATATATAATAAGATACAATGGCACTAACTGCATGGAGACATTTTCAACTCCTTTTTGGAATGCGGTTACATCACGAATGAAGTACCTAAGCTAAGAACGATTTGAGTTGCTATCTATCTATCTATCTATCTATCTATCTATCTATCTATCTATCTATCTATCTATCTATCTATCTATCTATCTATCTATCTATCTATCTATCTATCTATCTATCTATCTATCTATCTATCTATCTATCTATCTATCTATCTATCTATCTATCTATCTATCTATCTATCTATCTATCTATCTATCTATCTATCTATCTATCTATCTATCTATCTATCTATCTATCTATCTATCTATCTATCTATCTATCTATCTATCTATCTATCTATCTATCTATCTATCTATCTATCTATCTATCTATCTATCTATCTATCTATCTATCTATCTATCTACCTATCTATCTATATATCTATCACCTATGAAGTGATAACTTTGAAACTTGAATATATAGAAATATAGGTCGATCTTAGGGCCTGACTGTATACAGGTAAATAACAACATTTTCTAATAAGATTAAGGAATAGGGTTTTTGACATTTCGCTGATATATACTGACTCAAATTAGAGAGTCAGAAATTTGTATACTTTTAATATCACGACTGCGAAAGGTTCTTTCTATAGTTTCGCCTTGATTCCTAATTCTAAATTAATTTGTAGAACAGTTCTTTAGAAATAAAAAAGTTTTTTTTAATTTTAATCTAGAACATTTTATTTGTATAAAAAGTTATGTTCTATTACAAAACAACGAAATTTCCATTTTTTGGGCATAAAATTCTTAGGTACATACAATATCAAATAACATTTAAGTCTTATGCATTCTTTGTCTAACAAAGAATAGTAACTGGTGATTACATTAACCCATCATATTTTCTTTATTGATATCTCTCATTGGCGTACGTTTGTTAATTTGTAATTTCATCATTTTATTTTCATCGGCACATTTTGTGGTGATGGCATTACGAACTTCTTTTTCCGAAGCACTACATTTGCGAGTTACTGCAAATATGATATCGGCTAAGACTAGATGATCCAACTGTTGTTTTAAGGGTTTGCCATGATCTTTGAAGGCCGGCGAAGGTTTGCCCGTCATTGAATGTGTAGCCAAAACGTTGCGATCAAATATGGCCATTAAAAGTTTTCTTGTTGCAATCGAGGCCGATGACCAATTCATGTTTTCATAGAGTTTTGCCGGTATACGGGTGTTATTGGGTCCAATGGACACCATTATATTGTCCGTATCAATCGTAATGAGACTTCCATCACCACCTGAAGTGTTCGATGACATATTGTTTTGGTTTTTGGGTGTGGAAGTAACGTTTTGCATTGGAGTATTTGGTAAATTTTTAATAATTTGTATTTTAGGCGTCTTAGGTAAACGATTACCGCTACTGTGGCGTTTTTGTACGGGTAGTTTAGGTGGCATATAGTTGTAAGTCCTTAATTTCGTTGTTGTGCTAAGTGACTCTGCCGCCAGTTTACGCCTTTTTATCAAATTATGTTCACTAGGAGCTGTGTCCAAAGTGGGTGTATCCATTTGATGCTGCATGGATATGATATTACTTCCATTATTACATTCTGATTTAATCTCTATGCTATCTTCCGGAGCCAAACAAATTTCTAAACGTCCTGAATCAGCTGAACTATTTAAATTTAAAGCTCCGTCATCCTCGGCCAATTGTATTTCTATAGGTTTATTTTTATTATTTCCTGTTCCTTCAGCAATTATTGTATATTTAACACTATCGGTAGGAGAACAGCTCATTTGTTGTATGGAATTTATGGAATTAACAATTTTGGGACTCAAGTTTGATGCTGCCCTATTTGCAGTGCTGCTGTTCGAATTATTGCTACTAAGATTACTATTATATAGTTGAGTTGTTGATGACTGTTGATGTGACAATAACGCCGTTGTTCTGGCAGAGGTGGCATGTATTTGTGTCAGCAGTTCTCTGTGAGCCTTTAGATTTTCCTCAAGTATTCTTACTTTCTCTTCTAATTCTCTTTCTTTTTGGGTTTGTTTTTCTCGGTTTTTAATTTCATTTAAATACGAGAAATCATCGCTGGTAGTTTGTGACCAAGCAGCAACCATTAAAGGATGATGGCTATGAACACCTGGTTCTGGTATACCTTGAAAGTTTTGCGTTCCCATAATTGCTGACATTGGATGTAATTTTATCTGTAAATAATTGAAATAATTTTAATATTTTAGAGAAACCCTACTTTTTAAAGGTTATTTCCCTATAAGAACAGTGACAGTCATTTGACCGGTCAATTGTCTGTCACTACTGAGAATATACCCATCATTGCGTAGAACAAAGCTCCCATCACTTTCTTAAGGGCAATATGTAAAAAGTGATGGAAACATTTGTGTACATGTGATGTTGCATCACCCTCGCACTTATGAATTCTATCGACTTTAAAACATATATTTGAGCTGCTCACTCTTTTGTTGTTTACTAATCATGGATGATATAAATATTAGTCATGATTGACTAATCATGCTTGATGGATATATCCATCACAGTTAACAAATAAAAAAATGATGCATTAATCGGTCATTGTTGACTAATCACACTTGATGAATATATCCGTCAAATCTGACGGCTATACCAATTTATAATAAAACACAATTTATTGATATTTTAATATATATATATATTGTTAATTTTATTAATATAGTAATCATATACATAAATTACCAGTCTTTTCACCATTTTACATATCTCGCAGAATCTTAAGTCCTCTGATGCTCCTATTAATTTGTGGAAATAAGTTGTCTGTAAAGAAATACATAAGTATTCATAAATATCGAAATACAAAAATCATAAGTACATATTTATGTTACCATTGATTGATTAAACTCCGAATTGTTTATCTTCTGATCCACTTCCTGAACTTTTTTCAAATTTAGTTTATAATAATTATCTTTATTTTTAATAATTTAAAGACTTTGTAATTTTTTTATTTTTTCGCTTCTTGATCTTTGGCTTTCGCAGAAACAATTAATATGTAACGACGAAAAATACAACTCTGTAACACAGTGACAGTCATTTGATCGGTCATTTGGCTGTCATTGTTGATCAAAATATAAATTTAAATACATTTTAATCAAAATGTAGTTGTTTCATTCTTTCATATGCAAATTCAACCCTATACCACACATTGGGTCCAGTAACGGTCATTTTACCGGTCATTTGACTGTCATTGTTGATGGAATCATCCATTAAATTTTTTTTCGACAATTCTATAAAAAAAAATGTTGCGTGTGTGTTAGTAAAATCATTTTGTATGTGTTAGTTTCGGTCATTCATTTCTTATAGGGTTAACACTAATTTTGTTAAGAAACTAACCATTTTGACTTCCATTTTAAATCTTTTAGAATATAACTGATATAAGTTTTTCGGTAAAAATCTAATTAAAATTCACACTCTAATATTAAATTTTTTAAAAATTGCGCTTTCATAAACAACTTTATACCTTGTAGTTCTAGTGACTACTGCATACAAATTCCTTTAGCCTTATTCCTATAAATATTTGCCATTTAATATTCTTTACTACCTATTTTATGTACCTAATAACATTTATGAAACTAAAACGCGCCGTTTAAGGGTAGACGATGAAGGATCCTTAGTAATTCTTATTGCTATACAATAATTTCATGGATACTTCTATAAATTCCTATTTATTCCAGTTAGTTTTGTTGTATTTTTTAGTTTTACTTTACTTATCTGTAATGAGCAAAATGAATTCCATTCCATATTAAAAGTATACATACATAAGGGTGCATTTTAGTTAATACTATTGTTGTAGTTGTTGTTTTTGAAATAACGAACATTTCCATTTTCCTCTTTATCGAAGCCAGTTGGTTTGTGAGTTGGACTTATAACAATACAAAAAATTAGATTGTTGTGGTTTCAGTTTGTTTACAGTATTCTGTAATAGTGATGCCAGACTGAAATCCAAAAATGTAGTATAATGAGATATGAATTAATGACAAATTGGATTATTTTACAATGTTAAAATTTTATTTGAAAAAGAACACGCTTGTCATCGTCGCCTTAACCACTCTATATGTAATTTAGGATACTGTTGCATCTGTAGCCATTAATAGCTTGAGAGTCCGCCATTTAATGAAACCTTTTCCGGACGTTTGCAATTAACAATCTGTCGATGGCCGCTGACATAACATCTTGGATGTCGCTGCGAAAGTATCGGAAGTTCATTCGGATGTGCATGGGAGAGGGATCCTGCATCTAAATCTGTCTGGCCAACAACATATTATGTTGTCTAATCTTAAATTTATTACTGGTAGAGTGCCATTGAAAACCCAATTTTAATATAAGCCATTGAAGTTTTGTAGCTTGCGAATTCTTGCACAAGACGAACCTTTCGCAGTCGGCTAAAAATCTACTGGGTCCACATATTAAAAATTTAACGAATTTAATGAAATATTTTATGGGATTTTCGTGCGAAACTTAATTCATAGTAAAATTTGCCAAAGCTTTCCTGTGATGTGCCTTTCCGATATTCTCTTATTATACCCTTCACCTTCGTGAGAAGGGTATTTCGTCACCTGAAACGCAAACGGCCCTAACTAACCAAAAGTTCAAATTCGATTTTATTGTTAATTATAATGTATTGCATCAAAACAAATGTCCACACAAAAAAATGGACTCCTCTGGCCAAAATTAGCGATTTTATTGACAAAAAACAAAAGGCCCTATCTACAAAAACATTTCAAAATAAAAGGTAAAAAGTCCAATTTATCCATTTTTATATACGCTATTGTCAACTATCATAACGACCGATAGGTTTCACTATTAAACAACTTGTTTATTTATTACAAATAAATCGCGTCGATGGAAACAAACTTTCCAATTTCAATAGTTTTTCAATAGGGCCGTTTGCGTTTTAGGTGACGATTTATAAGTTTCTCATTCCATTTGTAATTATCCGACCACATAAAGTATTCATATACATATATAATCTGGATCCTTATTAGGGTTCTATAGTTGAATCGAAAAGTCGACTTTTTTCATTTAGTTAAAAGTCGACTTTTTGCATTTTATGAAAAGTCGATTTTTCGACTTTTTTCATTTAATTAAAAGTCGACTTTTAGACTTTTCGACTATAAGTATTTTATAAATAGTCGACTTTTTGACTTTTTCCGATTTTTCGACTTCTTTCGAATTTTTTCAACTATTTTTTGACTTTTTTCGAGTTTTTCCGACTACTTTAGAGTTTTTGACTTTTTTTTCTACTTTTTTTTAAATTTCCGACTATTTTTGACTTTTTTCTATAATTTTCGAGTTTTCGACTTTTTCCGACTTTTTTCGACTTTTCGACTTTTTTCGACTTTCAGACTTTTCGACTTTTATTAAGAAAGTCGACTTTTCGACTTTTTTCACAGACGATAGTCGAGTTATCGACTTTTTTGGAACAAAATAGTCGACTTCGACTTTTTTCGACAAAAAGTCGATTGTTCGATTATTCGAAAGTCGATTTATAGAACCCTGATCCTTATAGATAACGGATTCGATTGAATCCGCCTGTCTATCAGTAATCAATTTTCTGAAGACCCCAGATATCTTCGGGATTCAAATCTTCAATAACTCTGTCTTCAAGAGGTACTTTTTGAATGTTCTATAATATTGAACCTAGAAATATAAAATTAAACATTCAGATTGATCCTAAAAACATAAAATCAGACATATATAATCCTGATGGAATGAAAATCTATAACACGTAGCATATTGATTTAACGAAAATATCAAAAAGTTATTTTCTAAATTATTAAACCTAGAAACAACATATGGGATCCTGATGGAATGAAAATCTAAAAACTGTAATTATTAGCTTTATATAAAGTAAAAAGTTGCATATTTATATATTTACATAATAAACAAATTTATAAATATTTATATTTAATAATAATTTTCTAACTCTAAATTAAAAACTAACAAAAAATTTACAAAATGTACATTGTTGTTACAAAAGAAAATTTCATTTTGTTTTTGGTATACAAATTCTTGGGTTCTTGAAACTCTTAATATTTAATGTATTATTTAAATGCAACTAGTTAAAGATTATTAGATCAACGAAACATATTTTCTTTATTAATTTCCCTCATTGGTGTTCGTTTATTCATTTGTAGTTTCATCATTTTATTTTCATCGGCACATTTTGTGGTGATGGCATTGCGTACTTCCTTGTCGGAAGCCTTACATTTGCGTGTTACCGCAAATATTATGTCGGCTATGATTAGAGGATCCAACATTTGTTTGACGGGTTTACCATGATCTTTAAAGGCCGGCGAAGGTTTGCCTGTCATTGAATGTGTCGCCAAGACACTGCGATCAAATATGGCCATTAAGAGTTTTCTTGTTGCTATCGAGGCCGAAGACCAATTCATGTTTTCGTAAAGTTTTGCTGGTATACGGGTGTTATTTGGTCCTATGGAAACCATTACATTGTCCGTATCAATGCCAATGATGCTTGTGTCGCCATTTGCACTATTAAATGATGAATTGCTGTTGTTTATGGGTGAGGGAATGGTATTTTGCAGTGGAGTGGTTTGTATATTATTAATTTGTACTTTAGGCGTCTTAAGTAAACTATTACCGCTACTGCGACGTTTTTGTACTGGTAGTTTAGGTGGCACATAGTTATAAGTCGTCACTGTTTGATCATTGTTGACATGTTTCGTTGCTGTGCTGAGCGATTCAAGTTGCTCTGCCGCCATTTTTCGCCTTTTTATGAAATGATGTTCACTAGCAGTTGTGTCCAATGTGGGTAAAGCAGACACCTGCTGCGGCTGCATGGGTATTATATTATTTCCATTATTATATTCTGTCTTAATCTCTATGTTATCTTCCGGAGCCAAACATATTTCTAAACGTCCTGAATCAGCTGAACTATTTAAATTTAAAGCTCCATCATCTTCGGCCAATTGAATTTCTATGGGTTCACCACTATCATTTCCAGTACCTTCAGCTATTATCGTATATTTAACACTCTCGGCCGGGGAACAGTTAATTTGTTGTATAGGATTCATAGCATTAACAATTTTGGGACTTAATTGCGGTGTCCTATTTACACTGCTAATATTAGTGTTGTTTGGAGTATTAAAACTAACATTGCTATTGTACTGTTGCGTCGTTGAGGGCTGTTGTGACAATAATGCTGTTGTCCTGGCA